TCTTCCCCCAGGCCGGTTGGGTTCGCGGCGGCGGCCAACTCCAGCTCTCGTTCCAAGAGCGTTCCCTGCGCATGTGCAGGGAACGCTCTTTTTTACTTTTGTCAAATTAAGGGCCCCCCCCCGAATAATTTTTACACACTTTCAGATTTTTGTGCACACGTGGGGACTGGCCCACGTGTGCACAAACCTCCCCCGGCCCCCCAGCTGCCCCCGGGGCACTGATTTAGCGATCCGCACTCCGGGGGCAACTTTGCTATTAGATATATAGATGTTGCTTTTAAGGTTTTACTGATGTATTTTAAAATCTTGGAATTTTGTAAAGGTGTACTTCTTTTTGTATGACCATTCTAAGGACTGTAGAAATAAACTAAACTAAAACTACCTCTGAATGTGGAGGTGCCCTTTAGTAGGCATGGCTCGTAGCCACTGATATACCTGTCTTCCAAGAATCTGTTAGATCCCCTTTTAAAGCTCTCTGTGGTCACTATCTCCACTAGCAGTGAATTCCACACTTGCTTTGTCTGCCCTGAATCTCCCCCCCCACACAATTTCATGGGGTGTCCTCCAAGTACTAGTATTATTGGATGCTTTAACTAATCACAGATATTAGGAAACATATGGCAGGGATGGGAGTTGGTAACAGAGACCCAAACAGTATCAGGAAGGAAGGAAGGAAGGGGGGAGACAGAATTCAGCACAGCTCATTGCAGAATCAGACATAAGTAAACATAAAGTCAGTCATTTTTATTGGTTCAGATTTTTCTTCCCCTGCTTCGCAAGCTAGCCCGGGCTAGCCTGGTTTTGGAAGCTAAGCAGGGTCGGCCGTGGTTCGTACCTGGATGGGAGACCACCAAGGAAGTCCAGGGTTGCTACACAGAGGCAGGCAATGGCCAACCACCTCTGAACGTCTCTTGCCTTGAAAACCCTGCGGGGTCACTATAAATTGGGTGAGACTTGAGGGCGGTGAAGGAGCTGCGGTGGCTCAAGTGGTTAAGACGCTGAACTGCAGGCTGTGGAAGGTCAGTAGTTCAGCAGTTTAAGATCCTAGTGTGCCACATGATGGAGTGAGCTTCCCAACTCTAGCTCCAGCTGCTGCCAACCTAGCAGTTCGAAAGCAAGAAATTGCAAGTAGATAAATGGGTACCACTTCGGTGGGAAGGGCACAGCGTTCCGTGCGCCTTGGTGTTGAGTCATGCCGGCCACATGACCACGGAAACGTCTTCGGACAGCGCTGGCTCTTCGGCTTGGAAACGGAGATGAGCACCGCAACCCTAGAGTCGGACTCAACTGGCTTTCGAGCAAGGGAAACCTTTACCTTTACCTGAGGGCGCTGTCCGCCACCGCTCCATGAGATCAGGCTCAATAACATTGATCAGTAATCCTAGAGTGACGCTGTGAAGCCGCAGCCGTTTGAGTGAGAGCCGCCACCTCTGGATGTTCGGAAAGGAGAAAAACCATCTGCTTTTCATCTTTGCCTTACAGATTGGGGCCCATCACAGCGGGCTGCAGAACCTAGTCGAGGTCTTACCATCCATTAAGCACAAGGTAAGGAGGGCCTGCAGTGGCTCGGAGGTTAAGACGCTGAGCTGCAGACCGGAAGGTCGGTAGTTCAGCAGTTCGAGGCCCGAGTGCTGCGTGACAGAGTGAGCTCCCGTCTCTGGCCTCAGCTCCTGCCAACCTAGCAGTTCGAAAGCAAGAAATTGCAAGTAGATAAACAGGTACCACTTCGGTGGGAAGGTAGCAGCGTTCTGTGTGCCTCGGTGTCTAGTCATGCTGGCCACATGACCACGGAAACGTCTTCGGACAGCACTGGCTCTTCGGCTTGGAAAAGGAGATGAGCACCGCATCCCTAGAGTCAGATTTGACTGCCTTTTGAGCAAGGGAAACCTTTACCTGAATGTAAATCACCTCCCTGTACCCCAGGGCCGTTTTGTACGTTGCAGTCCGAGGCTTGCTACTGAGTGTGCACTCCACAGAAAGCAGCGACCAGTCGCGAGTCCTTGAGAAGTACACCCAAACAGTACACTTGTTTGTTGCATTCATATGTGCACTTAAAACATTTTTAAGTACGTTTTTTCATCTGGGTATGTTTAGCCAGGAGAGGAGACGACTGAGAGGTGATATGATAACCTTCTTCAGGTACTTGAAGGGCCGTCATATAGAGGATGGTGCGGAGTTGTTTTCTGTTGCCCCAGAAGCTCAGCCCAGAACCAACAGGTTGAAATTAAATCAGAAGAGTTTTTGGCTAAACATTAGGAAGAACTTCCTGACAGTAAGAGCGATTCCTCAGTGGAACAGGCTTCCTTGGGAGGTGGTGGGCTCTCCTTTGGAGGTTTTCAAACAGAGGCTAGATGGCCATCTGACAGCAATGCTGATTCTGTGAACTCAGGCAGATCATGAGAGGGAGGGCAGGAAGGGTTGCCTCAGTGCTTAGTTCGCGTGGCCCTTTCTTACACGCCCAGGGAAATGCTGATCGCCACTTTGGGGTCAGGAAGCAATTGTTCTCCAGGCCAGTTTGGCTGGAGATCCTGGAGGTTTTTTTTGCCATCTTCTGGGTGTGGAACAGAGGTCACTAGGAGTGTGGGGAGGTGTTTGTGAATGTCCTGCATTGTGCAGGGGGTTGGACTAGATGACCCCGGAGGTCCCTTCCAACTCTATGATTCCAAGGGCACATCTACAAAAAGGTCATGTCTGAAGTGGAATTAGAATGTCTGTGCCATGTGCAGCCCCTTTCTTTGGGAGGCTTGACCTCTAAGTCTGTTGGGCCTGTCCTCCCATCAGGAATTCTATGGCTTCAGCTGTCAACACACATGAAACTGTCTTATGCTGAATCAGGCCCTTGATTCATCAAAGTTAGTATCATCTACTCAGTCTGGCAGGGGCTGTCTAGTGTCTCAGGAAGAGTTCTTTCACATCATCTACCTCCTGGTCCTTTTAACTGGAGACACCAGGGATTGAACCTGGGACCTTCTGCGTACCAAGTGGAGGCTCCACATCCCCTTCCCAGCCCGTGAAGGCTGTAGCTGTCAGTGATGATGGGCCACATTCCTATTTGATAGCCCTGCTCTTTCCCCCCCCTCCCCTGGAACTTAGGATGACATAGCATTCCCTCCCCACACGGCCCTGTGAGGTAGGCCAGGCTGAGACATAAACCCAGGGTCACCTAGCGGGCTGCGTATCTGAATGGGGATTTGAAACCTGGGTTTCAGGAGCCGAACCACTCCAGCCACTGGGCAGTGCCGGCTGCCCTGTACAGAACTGGGGGTTCTCTTCCCGTGGTTGGTTGGTGGAAGATGGGCACTGCAAGCCAGGCGTCCCACTGCAAACGGCCCAAACTCATCCCAATGCTTCGATTTGTCAGGACACGCTCGTTGAATTTGATGAATTTGATCCATCCTGCCTGTTGCCGTCATGCCCGGATTATTGGACCTACTCTGGGTCTTTGACCACCCCGCCCCTAACGGAGTCCGTCACCTGGATCATCAAGAAGAAGCCAATAGAGGTGGATGAGGACCAGGTACGTGCAAAGAACACTGCTGCGTGCGGAGGGTGGAAAGGGGACAGAAGGATGTAACCAGTGTTCCCTCTAAGCTGAGTTAGTGTGAGCTAGCTCATAGTTTTTTAGCTTCCAGCTCACACATTTTTGTCTTAGCTCAGAAAGGGTGGACCCAGAGCAAGCTAATTTGTGCCGTAGCCAAATCACCTGCTCACAACTTTAATACCAGGAGCTCAGAAAGTAGCATTTTTGCTCACAGGATTCCACAGCTTAGAGGGAACATTGGATGTAACTCTCAATCCCAGTGTTGTTTTCCAATAACCAAATGTTACAGAGCAACAATAAAAACAAGGCAGCCTTGCAATGCCCTACAGTCCAAATAGATCCCACAGGGCATGAACCTCCTTGGGGAGGTGATTACAGAGGGCAGGGGGCAGCCACCGAGAAGGCCCTTGCCCGAGTGGATGATAAACGGGCTGTTTATGGACCAAGAACTTGCAGTAGAACCCGTGATGAAGACCAGAGAGGGTGAGGGAGGGTCATATCGGGAGAGGTGGTCCCAAAATGATGAAGGTCACCGGCCATTTCGCACAGGGCTGTCAAACATGCGGCCCGGGGGCCGGATCAGGTCCCAGAGGGCTTCCATCAGGCCCGCAGTGGAACTGGCCATCTTCTGCTTCCAGTTCTGCTGCTGCTGCTGCATCATAGCTTGTTTTGCCAGACTCTTTTAATCACTCAGCCATTTCATGTTTTAACTTGGGTCCTAGACTCAGAACTCTGAGCATGAGATTTCTGTGGTGAATGTCAATCAAAAGTAGGTTTGCAGCTTACAGATACGCACCTGAACAGCATACTCAAGATGGCAACACCACAGACATTTTGATGCAATAATTCAGAGCAAGAGGTGTCAGTGATCACACACTGTTAGATAAACAAAATATTGCAAGAGTGCTGATGTTTTAAGCATGTTTTTATTTTAAGTAAAAAAAAAACCCTTTGTGTTTGTGTCCTTTATAAAGTTTCTGTCTCCGCTAGCTGGCATTACATTTTATGACACGCGTGGCCCGGCCCAACAAGGTCTCATTTATGTCAGATCCGGCCCTCATAACAAATGAGTTCGACACCCCTGATGTAGGGCTTTCTAGGTTAGATAGAGTTAAGATGACTTAATGGTAGTTCTACACTGATCCTCTGCTTTGTTGGTGATTAAGTCATGGAAAAGGAGATTCACGGCATCTTAAAAATGTAGGTTGATTTAGAGAAGACATCTATCGCCGGTAGACTCCTTGCTCTTTTGGAAATGATAAGTTGTAAGGGCTGTAGTTGTATTTCGTCTGCAGGGGGCAGCTGCGTCTGATCTCTCACCGCTCTGGAAAAGAGCATGGCGATCGGGTGGGTGGGGAATTCCTCGTCTTCCTCCCTGTTCTGATTTCACCCTTTCTTCTTCTCAGCTGGAGATGTTTCGGATGCTACTCTTCAACTCCTTTGGAGATGAAGAGCAGCGGATGGTGGACAACTTCCGTCCCCTTCAGCCGCTGATGGGTCGGACTGTCCGTTCGTCCTTCTCAGGCCAGTACCTGCTGGACCTCGAAACAAGATCCGAGGAGCATTCTCAGCGCGCCAGCCGGCAAATGTCCCTCAAGGGCACCATGCATCTTTAAGAGGAAAACCAGACCAGAAATGTCACGAGCACTTTACATATTATCTAGAGTCTTATCTCGCTGCGTATTCCAGGTTTGCATGCAGTTGCTTTAAAGGGGTTTTTTTTGGGGTGGGAAGGGGATTCTTCCTTTTACTCTCCGAACGCGCTCTCTCTTCTGCAACACGACAGCCTGCTTTAATGAAACCCCTCTTGCAAGTAAAGCAGTTCATAAAACGCATCGAGTTCTAAGCCCTGACCATTTCTGCAGTAGTGAAATCCCCCGCATTGACGTTCTTAAAAATGTGCATTATGTGAAATTTTCTGCAGTAGATTTTTCCTCACCAGGCACAAACCTGAAGTTTTCTCCTTCTTACCCTGCATTTTCGGAACTCGCGAAAACTGGGGTTTCCGAAAATGCTGGGTAAGGAGAAAGCTTCGGGTTTGCACCTGGTGAGGGAAAATCTACTGCGGAAAATTTCACATAGCACGCAGTTTTAAAAACATCAGTGCAGAGAATTTCACAACTGCGGATATGGTCCTTGCCTAGCATCAGTTGTGTCAACTGAATGGTGGCAAAAGGTATCGCCAGGCGGACGCTTCTAAGGAAAACGGTGGGCCAGGGAGAGGTGTGGCTCAAGGTGTGGTGAAAGGAAATGCCGTGTTTTGGATTCAAGGTGGTGGCTTTTTCTCAACCTGGTGCTGCTCTTGGTCCACAAAGTCCCATCTTATCTACCTCTGAAATATATAAGCTCTAACTTTATGTGGAGTTGTCCTTTTTCTCACTGTATCTTTGTGTCTTAATCAGAGGCCTTCCGCTCATGCTATTTGGGAGGCAGGAAATGAGATCGCTTCCTCTGTAAACTAGCAAAGACTTGGTTTCCAGTGGACTCCAGAAAGTTATCCGAAGCACAGTTCCTTAGAAGAAGAGTTTGATTCACATCAGTGGTAGTGACTTCCAGGGACAGGGTGTGGACTATTAAGCTTGGTATGGACACCCCCCCAATTGGTGTTCTTAGCACTATCATGCATGCATACAGCTTACGGACAGACGCTTGAGTTTCAAGTTTATAAAAATACTGTTTTCCTCCACTCTGTCAATGGGAGTTCATGTCATTTTAAAGCACTTGAACACCAAAAAAGCTGTCTTATACTGAATTAGACTCCTGGTCCATCAAGGACAGTATTGTCTGCTCAGACTGGCAGCAGCACTCCAGGGTCTCAGGTGGAGGTCTTTCCCATTGCCTACTGCCTGGGTCCTTTTTAACTGGAGATGCTGGGGATTGAACCTGGGACCTTCTGCATGCCAAGCAGAAGCTCTTCCACTGAGCCACGGACCCTCCCCACTATGAACACAGGAAGCTGCCTTTTGCTGACTCAGACCCTGGGTCCATCAAGGTCAGTATTGTCTACTCAGACTGGCAGCAGCTCTCCAGGGTCTCAGGCAGAGGTCTTTCTCATCACCTGCTCCCTGGTACTTTTTAACTGGAGATGCTGGGGATTGAACCTGGGACCTTCTGCATGCCAAACAGAGGCTCTACCACTGAGCCACAGCCCTCCCCCAAGATCCTGTAAAGTAGTTGTACTGATAACCGTACTTCATAAAAGCTATCCCATGTCAAGATTAATCAGCAGCGTTCAGGGTCAAGAACTTCTCATTCCATTTCTCCAAATACCACATAACAGTATTGGGGAATCTTCTGTTGCCGTTTGTGTAGAAAACATCAAAGTGTAGAAAACAAACCAGTCCTGACCTGGGTAGCCCAGGCCAGCCTGATCTCATCAGATCTTGGAAGCTAAGCAGGGGCGACCCTGGCAAGTGCTTGGATGGGAGACCTCCTTGGAATACCAGGGGTGGGATGCAGAGGAAGGTCATATCAACGTCACCTCTCTGAAACGTCCGAGCCCCAGTGGGGAGCTCCAGAAGTCACCATGACTACCCGGCTGGCAAGCACATGCCCATACACACAAAAAAAATTACCCCAAAAAAGGTGGAAACAAACCTTACGTAAGAAGCTTTTGGCTTCATGACGGAGTGAGCTCCCGTCTCTGGTTCCAGCTCCTGCCAACCTAGCAGTTAGAAAGCAAGAAATTGCAAGTAGATAAATAGGTACCACTTTCGTGGGAAGGGAACAGCGTTCCGTGCGCCTTGGTGTTTAGTCATGCCGGCCACATGACCACGGAAACGTCTTCGGACAGTGCTGGCTCTCCCGCTTGGAAACAGAGCTGAGCACTGCAACCCTTGAGTCAGATTCGACTGGCTTTCGAGCAAGGGGAACCTTTACCTTTAAAATGCATTTAAAATGAAAGTAAACGGAGAAGTATTTTTGACCAGGATCACTTGGTGTAAAAGCCTTTGTTTACATGTCTGTAATTATATCAAGCATTGCAAAATGGTAATACTTTGCTGTGACAGGTTGCTTCCCCCTTTTCTGACACAGGCTGATGATCTTCTTGGGCCAAGCGTGGCAGAAACCAGTGTGCGGCTGATGCCATCCTGCATACCCTCAAACTAATTTATTTTGAGACCTAGCAAGGGTTGAGCATAGGAGCTCAGTTGTGGCAGGTTGGGTGTCATCGATGAGAGATGTACACATGGTTGTGTTTACACTGCTGTCGGGAAACAGGATCAACGTGGTGTATACCAGGATTGTCTTTCTGGTTCCTGTTTACGAACTTTGTGAACTTAGGCAGGTCATGAGAGGGAGGGCAGGAAGGGTTGCCTCGGTGCTTAGTTCTTGTGGCCCTTTCTTACACGCCCAGGGAAATGCTGATCGCCACTTTGGGGTCAGGAAGCCATTTTTCTCCAGGCCAGGTTGGCCGGGGATCCTGGAGGTTTTTTGTCATCTTCTGGGCGTGGAACAGCGGTCACTGCGGGTGTGGAAAGAGAGGTATTTGTGAATTTCCTGCATTGTGCAGGGGGCTGGACTAGATGACCCTGGAGGTCCCTTCCAAGTCCAATGTTCCCTCTAAGCTGCGGGGTCTTGTGAGCAAATATTCTACTTTGT